AATATGTTAGTAAACCTATTCCACATAAACATAATAAACAATTGTTATCATCAATTAATTCACGCTTTCCCAAACATGCAAATTAACATGAATTGTTGTAGAAATGAACTGTCGACGAAATGAACTGTCGACGAAATGAACTTTCGACGAAATGATTGTCGATGAAGTGATTGTCAACGAAATGAACTGTCGACGAAATGAATCAGACCCATTGAAAATATGATCAATGACCTCGTATTGTTCCACAAAGGTGAAGTTCTTTCTTCTCCACCTGCTTCTCATAAATCAAAATGACAATAACAAAAGAACCTGAATTTATTGTTGTTGTTACAACGCCAATATCAACACCATCCACATCGACAAGTGCGCATACTCCAATCACGTTTCGAACCATTAAAACATTTTGATAGACAATTTATTGCATTAATTCATGAACTAGAATCCAGAATACACATATCGTTATCTATTCACTGGAGGTCGCTACGCTAGCATGACTAACAATAGAAGAGCATTTACGGAGACAAAGTCATCTGTTAAAAAAGACGTTAGCCAGCTTAGCTTGTCTATGGAGTATTAATTTGATATATTAGGAGTGTTGGTTAAGATTTTAATACTTACAAATAGTTTTAAAAATTAGTCTTTAAAGACAATTGTAATAATAGTCAATGATTAGTTGTTGTGGTTATTAGGGTTAATAATTTTTTAATGTTTATATAAAATATTTATGTGTTTTTATTGCAATAATGTTAATGGTTAAAATATGTGATGAAATAAGTAAAATACAATATAAGCTCTAAAAGATAATTATATTAAAATATACTGTATCAAATAAAAAAAGCAGATTTGAAGTAATATGTGTGTGTTGGAAGAAGAAAGAGTAGAAAAACTTGATGATTTATTAAATGAAGAATATCTATTTCTAGAAAATAATGTGAAAATAAAAAAGATAAGGATAGAAAGCATCATCATAACATATTGTTGATTTTCAAATTCAATAAAAACTTATTAATTGAAAATTTTTGAAACATAATCATCTACATAGATAGAAAATATGAGAATTAGAAAAAGTGAATAATGAAATAACCAGTCAATGATTTAATAATTTACCATAGATAGGATGACAAAATTCTTTACAACCCTCGAGTTTTATATTTAATCTTTTGGCATCAAAGAATATTGAATTATAAAGTTCGATTGTACCTTTATAGTAATTTTCTTGAAACCTGATTTCTTTTAAATTTGTGAATATTTCGTTTTTTTTATAATCCAACAACAATTTTAAATTATCTGGATTAATTGAATTTTTGTCATATAAAGAAATAATCTTTAAATCAAGCTTATGACAATTATCAAAGAAACATTTTAATTTATGAACTGACGAGTAAAAATTAATGCCAATTGATACCAATTTGTGATTATAATCATTCAAGCAATTCGACAATGATTTGATGATGTAATCGTCTGGATCATTGTTGTTGATGGTATTATCATGTTGTTTAATTTCTATATTAAAGACCTTCATATGCTTTAATTCCATTAAAACATTTACTAATTTATCAATTTCAGTTAAAGCTATTCTAATTGACAATCTTTTTATGTTTTTACAATAATTCGATATTGTATCAAAAAGTTGGGTTGAATCCCCAGAACCATAAAGTGATCTTGAAAGATGTAAAGATTCTAAATTAAAATTTGCAATTTTTATAATTTGAGGTAAAATGTCTGAAACATGGCTCATGTCATAATAAAGATTTTTTATTTTAGGCAATTCTATTATACTAACGATATTCCCATTATTAATGTTTAATTTATCAGGTAATGATATAAAATCATCTCTCAATTCAACAGAAGTTAAAAATTCCAAAGTTTGGAGATTTTCAAAATATTTTAAAACTGTAACAAAATCTTGAACCTTTGTAAATTTAGAAATTTTAATATGTTTCAAAGTTTTAGAAATTTTTAGTAAACCTTCATAGAAAAGGACTGTGATAACGTTGGATCTCCAGAACTGATTTGTTGACAAAGTGATCAATTTAGATTGTTGTTTAACTATAAAGTCTATGATGCAACCAGGTAATTCAGGATGTATGGATTGATAATCAATGTCGATATCAATATGTTTTAATTCATTTGAAAATTTGAGTAGATTCAAAAACATATTTTTGATTCCTGCACCTTGATCTTTTTGTTCTATTGAATAACCATCGTGATATATTTTAAAAATTTCGAGTCCTTCTAAAGCAATTTCAGAATTTCTAAATTTTGTAACATCTATAAATAGACTACTACTATCCTCATATATACTTAATTTTTTTATACCTTTGGTTTTTTCAAAAAATAAATTGCCAAGAACACTTGTAAAGAATTCTTTTTTTTCATCTGTATTTAAACAATCTGTATTATAGATAATCGTTTTAAAATTCTTAGTGCTAAAACTTTTCAAATATTCAGGATAACAGAATAATGTTGGCTGTTGTTGTAGTTGTTCTTCTTCTTTGTTTTCTTCGTCTTCATCTTCATTTTTATCACCCATTATCCAAGGATCTTCAATCCCTTGATCAAATAATAATTTTTTATCTTCTTTATCAAGACATTTAATACAAGTTCTAAGAAATTTGTCTGGATATAATAAACTGTTGAATTCGAAATCATCTAAAGGGTTACTCCATAATAAAGGTATAACCAATCTACACCAGGCCCTATTAACTAAGGCACACGAATATAAAGTAGGAATGTCATATTTTAAATAATCAAAAACATCTACAAGACATTCTTTAGTATGAAATAATGAATTAGCCATACTTTTTATTTAAAAACTTATTTTTTAAATTTAAAAGTATAAAAAAAAATTTTTTTTTTATTTTTTTATTTTTTTTGACTCATTATTATATAGATTTATTTGACAGTGTTATCATTGAGGTAATGGGAATGGTTTCACGAATTGTTTGTTTAAAACAAAAAGCCTTGTTTCAACAAACCTCGTTTGCTTCAGCGAATTTTCATTTCAATGAAGTCTTGTTTTGATCCTCTTTCTTTATTAATTAAATATTCTTTGCTTCTATAAACTTTATATTTTTTTTTGTCCAAGAATCTTGTCAAATTTTTATTATACAAACAGGAAATTATCGACAGTTACATTAAAGTAAACAAAACTTATAAGACATTACATATGCATTTTATCTAATTCATTTAATACAGATTAAGGTATTCGCCTATGCCAAATGACCTGCCAAGCCTTTTCTGTAGACAAATCTTCTACATAAACTGAATCTGGAGCATTAGTAACTACTAATTATAAACCAGGCCAAGAATTGTTACAATTTATTCAAGTGTGTCTCCCAATATCTTTCAATACAATCATAGAACTTGGGGTAAAAAAAAAAAGTTTTCATGCCCAACTTTTTTCTAAGAGGCTTTTTTTGTCCAACAAAAGCTGGCTGCAAAGAAGTAATTCTTCATGCACAACAATCAATTCTATTATCATCAATTAATTACCTTTTCTTTATATGACTTGTAATTAACCAACAATTTTTCTTTCCATAATCCATCTTTCAGCAAAGACCGTTTCGTACCTCAAAGCGCTATATTTTCATAATCATCTGGAAATGCCATCAATTGAACAGCATTGTTTGGACCATAAGAGGTAGGTTGCATATAATATTTATTTTTCTTTGGCTCTTCCACCACCGTCACTTAAAAGCATCTTTAGCATAAATACCATAGTTAAAGTTGCTATCAAAAACAAAATACTCCAATTAGTGTTGGTCGCCAAAACTATTTTGAAGAAGCGAAGTCAAAAACTAAAATTAAAAGTTATATGTCAAAACTAATTTTGACATGTGGCGAAACCTTTTGACTTTCGCACAGTTGCGAAAACTCTATAATTTTGGAAACCAACACCAACTCCAATGCAATTGTGAAAAAGTGCATTGAAAATAGGGATAGTCCAATATCCCTAATCATTTTTTCCAAGATGAAACAACGTTCGAATTTCACGTGGGATATTGAACCTTTGTACTTTCTGAAATATCTTCATCATCAATAATTCGACCAGTCTTCTACGTGATGTTGATCCAGTTTGGAACCAAATTTTCTAATCTTTCTTTCTGTATACGGTGTTTGGTCATAAGGCTTCCGGTCGAAACTACCTCTCTTAGTAGTCAAAATTGCCGAAATATTTTTGGACAAAATTTATCCAAAATGGGCGAAATTATTTTTACAATTACGGTACTTGAATTGAAATAGATTGATTTATATATAGTATCCTTATAATACCATTCTTTTCGAAAATAGTTTGGACCAGAGACCTTAGTTGGTTCATCAAGAAAAGCAATTTTTGCTGCTACTTTATTGATTATATCGGTAACGCTCATCTTTTTTGAATGATTAAGCAATTGCTCACAAAGAACAATTTAACTTTTGTTCTACAGGAGTTTTCATTTAATACAACATCTTTACCATTCTCGATATCTTCAACATTATCACCATCTTTAATATTCTTTAGATGTTGATAGACCAAACCATTTTTCTGATTTTGAAGTATCAGCTGTAGCTTTGATGAATGATCCATTTGGACGGACATACATATTTATCATACAAAGTTGTACTTTAAATCTCTCCAAGAATATATATGGTCCTTGCATTTTCTTTTCAACGCCTGCATTTTTCTTTATTCTTGATTCTAACGGAACACTTATCAGTTTGTTTGTTTTTTCTTGTCCTCTCAAGTGCTCCGTATTCTACTTTAAAAGAATATCACGAGTTCTAATTACATCTCTGACATAATCAATTGTGGATTTGCACTTAATGGTATTTGACAACATTCATGTTTTCCTAGTGTATTTTTCGATGCAGACGATCACGATATACTCGTGAGATTTATGGAACAAATATTGACGAAAACGGAAACGTGACCAGGTCAACATTTGTGTCTTGTGTTTTAAGTTCAAGGAGCAAAACTACCTTTTCTCCATTTTATAATCTCACCATTTTGGTTACACCGATTCATGATTACTCCTGGGTTGACGTCATTCAGCACAAGACTTAATTTGGAGAAATTGGTTTGTGTATATACAAAACCCTGTTAGAATAATGTATGGGGGCAGTCACATGTTTTACGATTCATCAAAAAACCTTAAATTAGAATTATTTATATTTATATTATTATTTATTATTATTATTTTCTGATGTGGTATTTATCCACTTGTGACATTTAAGTATTTTACAACAAAAAAAATCATTTATACATATTTATATATATTAAAAAAAATTTCCATTCATTAAATTTTTCTTCCATAAATCCTATAAGTTTTGGCATATGATTTATGTTTATTGTATTCTAAGGGAGCTATTTCCATAATCTCTTTCAAATCCTTTTCTGTCATACACATAAAATCAAGAATACTTGAAATTCTTGCTGAAAGTAATTCAGTTATATTTTTTAAAAACTATATTTATATAAAAATAAGATAACATTAAATATTAAATAAAATCTAAAAAAAGATTTTTAAATAAAAACAACTCACAAGTTCCCCTATATAACCACCCCAACTTCCTAACGGTATACCTTTACTATTTATTCCAATATCGACGATTTTGTTTGTCCCTAACAACATACTTTCAAGTTCTTTATTTATTTTGGTATTTATCCCACATACTTTTAAATAAGCCACAACTACAAAATTTAGTGTAATTGTATATTAATAAATGTTACTATAAATATAAATAAACAGAATGTTAGTAGATAATATTATACTTACATGACTTGCTTATTTTATCCATAACCGGTCCCAAAGAAGTTGATCTTGGATCCCTTTCCTGATTGTTGATTGAATATCAATAATAATATAATATTAATAATTATATTATTGCATCAAGATAAAAATAAGAAAGTTCTATTACTAATATAAATACCATAAATTCAATCCAACCATTTGGTTTAGTGACTCTTATAATTTCATCAATAATAAATGGCCATTGATCTTTTCGGATCGAAAGCATCATATTACTTTGATGTACATAATCAAATGTGTTGTCGGGAAATGGTAACCCGTCAAATATATTACTCTTGATAAATGCTAGATTCGGTAAATCTTCTCGTTTGAAATCCATAATGTCAATCCCAATAAATGTTGATTTTGGATACAATTCTGCTAAACTTGCTATCCAACCTCCTGACCCGCATCCGATGTCCAATACACACATATTGTTTAATTCGTTTTGGACTGGAGCCGAAAACTTTCCTCCCCATACATGTTCGTATAGTATTTCCAATATTTCCATATTTGAGATTGACTATTTATTTAATTTTATTTTAATTTATTATTCTAAAAACATTTTTAAAAAAATACTTTACATTTACAAAACATTTACCTTTTCGTCAACTGCTACAATTTGACAAGAATTTTCTAAATTAACAAACATTCTACCATTAATAAATTTAAATTCATCGCATATTATATCAAAGTTGCCTTCATCGTCTCCATCAGTTGAAATTGAATCTGTAGTGCTTTTATTGTCATTGTCATTATAAAATAATGGTTCAAATGACCGTTGGGAAGTTTTTTGATGAAGTGAATTAATAGGCATTGTGTATTTTTTGTATGTGATTTGTATGTGCTTTGATTATAATTACTAATGTATTATTGATGTTGTTATTATTGTTGTTGTCAAATGACGAATTTATTATTTATTTTACAGTCTTTGCCTTTTTTCCGCCATTTTATAAAAAATAAAGTTACACAACAAAGTTCTTTTTCCCCCCCCCTATAAATTCCTTAATATTAATAACAAGTTTAATAAAATCATTACGTTTTTCCTTTAAAACAGATTATGTAATCGGTCTTCTGTTATATAATGGAAAAATTAATTAAAAATCAACAAATAAAATTTCGTTTTTTCCGTAAATGCTTTGATAATAATGTAAAGAAATATAATAATCGGTTGGGTAAAATTCGTTGGTCCATTTTTTTTTGTTGTTGTATTAACACTTATTCACGCATATAAATATCAATATTTTTTTATATTAATTAGTTATTATATAATCCAATTCTTTTTTTCCCAAGAATATAACCGATTATTGTATGCATGTACAGTTAAATTTTAACACCACATGTAATTTCCTCAATGTTAAAGTATTGATCGACAAACATATGTCACAAAAATAAACATGTTTTTTAATTATTGGGTATAGATGATACACATGTTGGATTTTAAAAAAACCGTTGCCACCACTGATTCGCTTTAAAAGGAGACATTCATATGTGTATGTTGTAACCATATTTTCGAACTACACGTCTAAATTTGGCTCGTTATACAAAATTTATGGCAACAAAAATTTAGGAAAGCTAGCTGGTAATTTTTGAAGCTTGAGTCATCAACAATAAAACTTATCGGTTAAACTTTTTAAAAAAATTTTGTTTTGGTATTTTTTGAAGTAATTAAATTGAATTAAATTGACAAAGTTTTTGTATCACTTCACGTGATATATTGTATTCTCAATATAGGTCATAATGCAGTCAGGAGATTTCCAAATATGAAAATCGAATATTGGAAAATTGGAACGCTTTCGTCGATCAATTCATTTAGCAAATGAAAAAAACAAATTCAGATTATAATAATTGAAATAAATTCTTTTTTGAACAATATATTTTAAGAATTCACCGGGATCCACATGACTTTATACACTAGATCTTTTCCTACATATGGGAGAACTATTGGTCTAAAATCCCGTTTATTTATTTATTTTGTTTGATTCTATAATTACAAGTTAGTAATGGCAAACACTACCACTAGCTAATATTCTACCATTTTTGCATAAGATCTTGCAAAATAAATATCCAAAAAAATGATGGAATCTCGTTGCTAAGTATTTATTCAAAGTATGCTTATACATAGGGATGTTAATCAGTCCTTTTGAACAGTCCGGATCGGACTTTTTCAGGTCCAGTCCTACCATTTGGGACTTAAAGTACCAAAAGGTCCACGTGTAACTCATATGCGCTGATTTTGTTTGTATGTGAAAATTGGAATGTTAATTAAAAGTTTGGGTGAAGTGTTTGGATATGAAATTCTGATTGGCCAAGTTGAATTTCACGTACGTGAATTGCAAATTCACACGAATTTCATTTTCACACGAATTTCATTTTCACTCACAACAAACCAAAAACTTCAGTACGGTATGATCACAACGTTTATATTAAAAAAACCCATTGGTTTTGAGGTGGAGCCATTGGTTTGATGGGCTGTTGAATAGTCAAATATTCTTTTGGTGGAGTAAATAACTTTTTTTAGGTTAGTTATCATTCTACTGACCAGTTAACACATTAAAAATACTTGTATTTTAATGTCAAGACAATAATAAGATATAAGGTTTGAAAAAGGTCCAGAACTTGCTTGTTAAGTAATAATAATAAATTTCTATTACTATACATTTGCTTGCTAAATAATAATAAATATTATTATTAAATATTCAATCATTAATAATAAATAATAATAATAATAAATATTGATTTTTCATTTGCCAAATAATTAACCAACTTATAAATTTTATAATAATAATATGTTAAAAAAAAAAAAAGGAATTTTTAGAACTTAAGTCCGGTCCGGTCCGGTCCCAAGATAGGACTTCCAGTCCCAGTTTAGGACCAATTAACATCCCTACTTTTACAAAATCTAAATATAAATTCTCAACGATCTATTCATATTTCATTATTTTTAAGAATCAAACTTCCTTTATATTAGAATTATTTATTTATTTATTTATTTTTACTATAAAAAATTTGGCATAGAATAAATAATTTGTTACATACAATAGGCAATTCGTTTATAAATTAATATTTCGTGATATTATTTATTAATTTTTATAATTTTAGTAACAAGAACAAGGGAAAAAAAAAAGACATAGTAAATCATCTATATACAAAAGTATAATTTAACAATTTACTATGATACGTGAAGTCTAGACCACCCAATTAAAGTATTTGGGTAAATTTATTATTTTATTAAATTTATTTGTTTTATTATAAGGAAGTTGGATGAAGTCTAAAAGAAGAGTCTAAAAGAAGATTGAGTGACACGTTAATAAACTCAAACAACAACTATTCAATATATGTAACCATTTATGAAAGAAATTATTGAATTTGTATGATAATTTTATTGTTTCTTTGGTAGTCTCGTAAAACAGTTAAAAATACACACAATGGAAGTTGTATTGTGTGACCATTTAATAAAGTTCTCATTGATTTTTTTTTTCTATTTAAAATTACACAATGTCGGTATTTTAAAAATTTCCACATTTGGAAATCTCCCTGACTGCAATGAATGTCATAAAAAATTTTCAAGTTGAATTAATACATAATACACAATAATCCAAAAGTATAAATTTAGGATTTGTTCTGGGAGTTAACCAAGTCAGCATATTATTTATTTAATGGACGGATTTTTCTCCTCCTCTAATGATTCGAGATCGACATAAATTATTTGGTGATACGGTGAATCAAAAATCTGCATTTGGTGCAAAATGTCTCAAAAAATTCAAAAAATAAAATAATTTTATCTAAAAATTATCATAGTTCGTGTGATGAATAAAGACTTTCCTATGTAAGAAACACAGATTTGAGGGTCTCTCTGATTCATTCACAGATCAGCAATTAATGTTTTTTTCAACATCAACAATTCATTCGCCATATAATAATAATAAAAGTGACAGAAATATTTCTAGTCAAAACCCAACTTTACCCACAGAAGTAATAGCATCATCAACTTTTAAACCAATTTCACGTCGTAATCGTTAAATAAATAAATATATATTGAACATATCGAATATATATAAGTATAGGACGCTTATCAATTTCCACATTTACATTACAAGAATATACAGTCTTTATTACAAAATCATAAAGATGATTTAGACTTATTAGCGAAATTACCAGCTGGTCAAAGTGAAGAAGCGTGGCAATATGAACGAACACCTAAGGTGATGGTGATGACAATAATTTTTATTCGATTTTTTAATAATAATAAATTCCTTTGGTAGTACAACTTGAACCAGGCAAACATGTCCTGCTGTGCTGCTCAATCTTTCTATATACATCATTTTTAAGATTTTTTTTTTTTGAAATATATCAGTTATCATTTAATTAATTAATTTATTATTATTATTATTATTATTATTATTATTATTATTTATGTTTAACATTTAGACTGTCAATTCCAGATACTATAAAACATTACCAGTTATACAGAATGTTTGGTTTCATCATAGAGAAATATTTAAAGGATTTGACATAATTTTAATTTTTATATCTAACTTATATACCTTCTATATTTATATAGAATGAAACTTTATTATATTTAAGATTTTAAAATTTTTTAAAGTTTATAATCTTGTATCAAAAATTTAATAATTATTAAAAATAATGGCGGTGACGGTAAAAATGTTACCAATAGTATATAGTAGCACTAATGATGACAGCGATAATGATGACAACAATAAAGAGAGAGATAACGCGACGACAATGATAACAACAACAGTATTACAAGTAAAAAAGAGTCTATTAAAGAGCCAGATACATCATCATCAAAAAAATAATTAATCAATCAATTCATTTAATATATTTATTCATTTATTTGCTTAATTTTAAACAGTTAATATAAAAAAAATCAGGTTCTATTTATTCCATCCTGGATACTCATAATAACTACATGTAACCATTATTTCGATCCTAATACTTCCCGCATCAACTTGATATTGAATTAGTTGGGGAAGGAGAAGAGGGACGACCATAAATTGTTTTGGCTTTTATACCAGCATACTTTCTCCTTAAAATTAAGTGCCAACTTTATAAATAAATTTGATCATTCATTCATCTACTACTTTATAATATTTTAAAAAAAATGTTATCAAAACCATCGCTACCACCACCACCTTTACTCACCACATCCATCAACTTCAATTAATATTAATATAGTAGGACATATTCTCAAATCTGTAAGAATGTACAATTTTACTTTCATTTGACAGTTGTAGTAATTTCGCTAGGTTCTTTTATTATTTTTCTTTTGATAAAAAAATTACAAGTAACTTCATACATGGTATGAACTATTCACAAAATCTGTGAAAGACGACTGGCCATCTTATCAAGTTGTTTCCAAACGCATCATTATATGAAGTAGATCTCTTTATCCTTCCAAACTGATAATAATTACTTTATGATATTAAATTTATCATAAGAAGAAATATATTGATTATTATAAATACAGTTCACACTCTCTATAACGTATCTTTCTATTAGCAAGTAAAATCACACTATAACTTTTCTTTTGTTTCCAATTTATTGTTTCAAAATAATACCTCTCTTTACAGCACAAAAAATATAGGATGTAAAATTCTCTATAGGGAGAGTGAACTGTACGTATACAAAAAACCTTTCGCCCAAAATAATTTTAATTTGATTTCTTCTTCCTGAATCTAATCATCAAAAACAGAATATGTCGGATATATACATGCATGTCAAAATTGCTTTTATTGGGCTTTCTAATTTCTCTTTCAAATAGTTCTATTATGTAGTAAGTTGTAAATACGTGACTTTACTATTATAATTTAAGTTTTTTTTTTCTAACCAAAGAATTACGCCGAATCTCAGTAGGTTTCCTAAACCATACACGTGGTCTTTGTTATCGGTTCGCTTGACATGAACCGTTTTCTCTCACCACATAATTCTATAATTACTCCAATACCAGCCTCCGTGAACGTTTTATTCTCGCAAAAATTCCTGATCTGCCGAATGATACTAGACCAGGTCGCGCTATATACAGTAATAGTAAGTGGTACATTTTTTTAGACCCAAAAAAATGTATTTAAAGAATGTAAATATAAAATATTTTTTAAGCTTATCAAAAAATAATTATAAAAGTATTTATTATTATAAAAATAATAACTTCAACAACTTAATATTAAATAAATCAAAAATATCATTATTTAATAATAACAATTGTAGTAGTAGTAGTAGTAGTAGTAATAATTATCATGATCTTAAAGATAAAAAAATTGACAAATGCAAAGAATCAACCTATGATAATTCATTGATAGATAAATATTTACCAACTAAATTAATTCCATATGCCTTACTTGCTCGCCTAGACAAACCAATTGGAACTTGGTTATTGTATTTACCATGTAGTAAGTAATTTTTTGGACGAGTGGAAAAAATAATCATGTCATTATCATTATTTAAATTATTATTATTATTATTATTATTAGCTTGGAGTATTACAATGGCATCATATCATTATTGTTCAAGTATTCCAATTTCCAAAACGATTTATATGTTAGGTTTATTTGGTGTTGGATCATTGGTTTTAAGAGGATCTGGATGTGTTATAAATGATTTATGGGATGTCAATATTGATAGAAAAGTTGAAAGAACAAGAAATAGACCACTTGCTTCGGGTCTTGTTACACCTTTTCAAGCTTTGGTTTTTCTTGGATTACAATTATCTGTTGGTTTATCTATTTTATTACAATTAAATTGGCATAGGTATAGTAACTAACTAATCTTAATAATTTTAATCTTAATTAATTATAATAATATGCATGTATGTGTGTATATTAGTATTTATTTAGGTGCAAGTTCTTTAAGCCTTGTAACTATATATCCATTCATGAAACGTATAACTTATTGGCCACAATTATTTCTTGGTAATAAAGATCACAATTATTTTTATTTTATTTTTATTAATTTTAATTAAATTACATTCTTTTAATTTTTCAGGATTAGCATTTAATTGGGGTGCTTTATTAGGTTGGTCTGCTATGGCTGAAGAAGGAATCGATTTATCTGTTACACTTCCACTTTATGGAGCTGGTGTATTTTGGACTTTAACGTATGATACAATTTATGCACATCAGGTAATATATATATATATATATTTGTTCACGATCAAATATTTTTATCTTCGTAATAATAATAATAATAATAATAATAATAATAATAATAATAATAATAATAATAATAATAATAATATATAGGACAAAAAATTTGATAAATTAATTGGCGTAAAGTCAACTGCGTTATTATTTAATAATAATTCAAGGTTATGGCTATCATTATTTTCAGGATCAATGATTTCTTGCTTAATTCTAAGCGGCTACATGAATGATCAAGGCTTACCCTATTATTTATTATCATGTATGGGTGCTAGTATACATTCAATTTGGCAATTGAAAACTGTAGATTTTGATAATGTTGTTGATTGTGGAAAGAAATTTAAAAGTAATAAATGGTTAGGAATAATAGTGTTGAGTGGTATTGTTTCTGATATTGCTTGGAAAAATTATAAGAAAAAAATCAATTATAATAATAATAAAGAAAATACAAAAAATAATTTATAATCAATTTATATTAAGTTTATTATTGTTTATTGTTTTTTTTTAAAAAAAAAAAAGTTAAATTTTGAATTAATTAATTAATTAATACTTTTTATCCTTTCTTTTTGATTTATGATCCGTAAAACTCCCATTCCCATTCCCATTCTTTTAATTTTTCATTTTGTTTATCATTATTCTTTTTGCTATTAAAATCTTTCACCTTCTCTTTGTTATTGTTGTTGCTGTTGTTACCATTAACAATAAAATGACCAATTAAAAGTTGTAATCTTTCTCTTGCAACATTTTTTAAATATTCTGTTTTTAATTTATCATCTAATTTATCATCTTCATCTTCATCTTCATCTTCATCTTCATCTTCATCTTCTTCGTGATAATCAATATCGTTACTATTATTATTTATTTTCTTTCTATTCCACCTAGAATTAGAAAATAATCTTGTCCAATTCCATTCAGATGATGGTGAAGGTCTACATGATGAAGAGGTTATTTGATGTGTTAGAATCGTTGAAAAAATATGATCAAACAAATAAAGTTGTGCTTGAAATAAATCATGATGATTTGTATGAAAAGTCATTAAATCGTTATTTTTTGATAAATTATCATTATTATCATAATCATTAAGAGATTGATCTAATCCATGTTGTTTAATATATAACTCTGTCAATTTTTCATCACTCCATTCTTCGCTCCATTCTTCATCTTCTTCCAATAAATCATTATTAATATTAATATTATCTTTATTTTTTGATGGAAAGAATTCATTTCTAAATAAATCAACAATTTCATTATGATTATTATTATTATTATTATTATTATTATTGCTGCTGCTGCTTATGTTGTTATCTTCTACATGGTGGTGATGATGATAAATTTGATGGCTCCATTCATTAAAAGTTTCATTAACACCATACTCTTCATAATTATTCATAGCCGTTGTACGAAAAGAAGAATTTACTAATGACGGAAATTTCCTTGATTCCTCCTGTTCGGTTGATGATGCTGTCAGTATTAGGCTTCTTTTAGATGTGGTGGCATCTTGAAAAAGCTTGTTTGAAAGTTGTGATATTGGGTTGTTGACGTTGGAATTTTCAAAAATACTATTACTATTATTATTGTTAGAACATAATAATGACATCGTGGGTTAAAATGTTATTCTTCCAAAATTAATTAAATTAAAAAAAAAATTTGTATCTACATATTAATAATATCTAATGTTTATTTTTATTTTATTTTTTTTAGATTTGATTGATTGTTGATGCCACAACATACAAAAAAAAAAGGTAATTTCCTATTTTTATTTTAATTTGCACACAGTACTACCCTTAATAATATGTGGGAAAAGAATTTTAGGTGCTAAATCGCTATATAGATGCCAGAATAGTTTCATTCCTTCATTTTTTCTCAATGTTACACGGTAAACTGTAATGACTTTTTACATTTCTTGTTATTTGTCACACCAAGTCATGATACTTTTTTCTTATTACACAGGCAAACTCGATAAGTCGGCCGCATAATTTATATTATCAAGTACTTTAAACAATTGATTACTGCGGGCCGACTTATCGAGTTTGCCTGTGTATTATATAGTTCTAGCTGCATTACAACGCCTAATAATTCTGGTCCTTAAAACTCTCCCAAGAAATCATTCACTGAAAATAAAAATAAAATGCCTCATTCTTAAAATAATTATCACTACTTACGCATCATCTTTTTTTTGCATTTTTTGATCAAGATTAACTACATTTTCTGAGAATTTGCCCAATGATTCATAGTCTTTGAAATAATTATATAACTTATAGCAAGGTCAATTATTCCTTATTAATTTGTTTAACTTGTTTAATTTTTCGTGTTACAAGCCACGTGAGAAAATCACTTGTTTTCTTAACAATGTAAACATGGTTAAATCGATTCTAGTATCTTCATTGCCTGAGGAGTAAATATATCAGCTGCAAGTTCCGTCAAACATTGAGTTTGCTGCAACTTCTTTGGTGTTTTCTCTCTCCTTTTGACACTTGTTGTTTTATAACGTTCCTGAAATTTTTCAGAAGTAGTTGTTTTCGCATCATTAAAATTAACTTGGTTTGAGTTCCAACAAAGTATTATTTTTTTTGTGATAAATGCAAGTATATATATATCTTTACTATATTGAATTCCGTATGTTGCATTATTAGTATATGTTGGTTGCCGAAGAGACGAAATTAAAAGTTATATGTCAAAACTAAATCAAAAGTCAAAGTCAAACCAAATTTCGACTTATGGCAAAATCTTTTGATTTGCAAAATTTTTGGAAACCAGCATCAATTCAGTATCTTTCCATATGTTATTTTTCATAGGGCAACCATTACTTTTCTTGCAAGTATAATTAATGGATTATGTGACTACAAATTAGTTGAGCAAAATCTGTTTCAAGTGTAATGGCTTCCTTGCGTTCTGAGCACAAAAGTGGTTTTACATTACTAATCTCTTTGATAAGAGTTTCTAGATCCTTTCATAAAGGATCACCACCTCTGAGCCATCCTTGTTTAATGGATTTAGTATGAGCTGCCTTGTAGATTCTATCCTTTCTTCTCTTACTGTGTATTTGAAAAAGATAATAAGTGTACTAGATAATGGAACAGATGTTTAAATTCAAAATCATGCATGCGTGAAGATTTTTCACACTGATTACTTTTCTATGAAAAATTTTACCAAATGAACTTGAATGTCTTGATCTATGCTTTGATAATAGTATGCGTCATTATCCAGAATAATGTCTCACAGGAATAAATCCAAGAACAACAGACTTATGACTCGTGGGAAATATACCACGAATCCTACTCATTTCTAACCATCACCTTGTTATTTTATTTTAAGCAGTATTTACAATATCAAAAATCAGAATAAGCATAAGCACATTATTGACAATAATAGAATTTTGTTGTCAATTTTATGAATTCGAGTATGCCTAACTATTAAATTTGATACATGAAGATAAAAATAGAGTATTTTGATAAAATAATACCCATAATGAGTAGAAATTAGTTCAATATGATATTAACCAGCTTTTCCTTTAAAGGCTTCGTGCTGGAAAATTATGAAATGATAAAATTGTAATTACTCAGTCCTAATGTATTTATACAAAATAATATAAATATAAAATTAGAACACAAGATTAAAAAACTTAATTTTTAAGGTTGTAAATACATATAAATAATCTTAATAGAGTTGTCATGGACCAATACCACCAACATTATTATGAGTATTTCTGCGTTGTTGAAGCTCTTGATCACCAGGTGTTTCTACAATATTTCTTTTCTTTCGATATTTCACAATTATGAATGTCACTATCACACCTAATGTTATTCCAACTAAAAGTGCAATTACTATTATTATTAATTGAACAGTGCTTAATAATGTTGTTGATGTTGGTTGCAATGTTGGTGTATCTGCTGGTGGTGGTGGTGCTGGTGGTGCTGGTGGTGCTGGTGGTGGTGTTGCTGAATAACTTGCCTTCCAAGTAAAATCTTTAATATCAAGTATATAAGTGTTTGCAGTAGATGATTGTGGACTTGAAACATTATTTGTAATATTTCCTATATACATATGTAATTTATTAATTAATTAGTAATTAACTTCAAAGTTGAAAAATTTTTAAAAAGTAAAAAATCTACCAAAACTTATTATCATTTGATCTCCAATTAAATTAGCTGAATGTAGTGTTACAGGTATGGCACTATTAGCATATGCAAAACTAGGTGCTGACCATTGAAAAGGATTTGTGGTTGTATCTAGCACCAGAAGTTCAGGAAGTGCGGTGGATTCTACAGGCCATCCAGTACCACCATAAACAATTATCCTTCCATCCTTTGCTATGCAACATATATAATTTTAGTATATTTTTTAAGAAAATTCTAAAAAATTTTAAATTAAAAATTGATTACAAAGTACAGCTGAATGGCCAGCTCGAGATTGGATTTGTGATGGTCCACTTGCTGTCTAAAATTTTCATCAAGTGTAAGAAAATTGAAACTAAATTGTTTTTTTTTTCATAAAGAATCTTGTAAACTTTATATTTTAATTGATTAAATATTTACCATATTTGACCAAATTGAACTACTTGTATCAAAAATTTTTATCTATAAAATGAATATATTAATATTTTACTTTTTATAATCAATATTTTCTATACAAATCTATAAAATAAATGCATACATTATACATGTCGACCATAGTTATAACTCCTCCATAACTTTCTTCTCCACCAATAATTACAATTCTACCATCAGGTAATAAGGTTGATGTATGATCAAAAGTTGCCAATGGTGGATTAGTTGTAGAGACTAAACCCCAAGTCATCTCTACTGTGTTCAAAATATACATATCATTAAAGAATTGATTGTTAGGAGATCCAGTCTCATTAGCTGCTCCTCCACCAAAAACATACATTTTTCCTTTATCATCCACAACAGCACTACTTTCTCTACGATTTATGGGCACAGTACCAATTGCTTTTGGAGCATTCCAAATTCTTGTATTTACATCATATGTGTAAAGCAAGTTGGTGAAATCATATTTATCACTATTTTGATTTACCATAATTCCACCAAATAAAAAAATTGTTGATTTATTTGGTCCACCAACTACACCTACAGACCAAGCAACACCTATAGGTAATTTGTCATTTTCTACCCATGGTATATTTGTAACATCAAAATTTTTAGTTAAATCCACATAAAAAAATAAATCTGTTGTAATTACTGGTTGTTCTAAGCTTATACCTCCAAGAGTGTAAAGTTTATTATCCACCACTACACTAACAGCTGCATAACGTTTTATCTTAGGATCAGAAAATACATTATTAATAATAAATATTATAATAAATATTATAATAAATATTAACTGAAATTTGCTATCTTGGGAATTTAAACTCATTGATTATTTTATTATTATGTCTATGACTGTCACTATAATTAATTAAAAGGAATCTCATAAAGTTTTTTCGTTTGTTAAGGATTAATATCAATCAACAAAAAAAAACCATTTTATACAAGAAAGCAAATGACATTTTGTTTTAAGAAATGATTTTTGTTTGTTTTATCAATTTGAAATTTTTAGAAAAAGCGCTACTAATTTCAGTAATGATGTTTTATCTAATTTCGCAACTTGTTTGTTTTAAAAAAAAAAAATTTTACAAAAAAGGATTTCGATGTTCCACGAATTTAATTGCGTTGTATTATAAAGTTATTCTGCAGCTGCAGTTTAAGCTGAAGTCGAAGCTGAAGCCGAAGTTGAAGTTGCAGCTGCAGAGCGCTCCCCCAAATTT